AGCATATCTGAAGGAAGAGTTAAGAGTCTTAAGACAAACTCCTTCCCAAAAGGCTCCTCTCTGCCCCCAGCATCCTGGGTGAGTATATTTTGAAAAGAGATATGACCTGTTCGAAGTTCCCCAGCAGCAGTTGGTAGAAAGATTACTAATAAGTGTAATTTTCCAAATTCCTTAAGTCACTACTTTTGTGTATTCTGCTTATAAGGCAAAGTTAGAATGTGAAAAGTAAAAGCAGAAAGTGTTAAATCCTAGTAACATAGCCTGTCCCAAAGTAGCATGTTTCAAGTCTCTTTCTAGAAAGGAAGGAAGATAGGAAATATATCTTACTTTTGGGTGATAGAATGGACACTCCATTTTCTTACAAGCTGGAAAAAACTTACACAGCGGACTACTGGAGGAGATGGACAGGGTGGGCAGGGGTGCTAATAGCAGAAACAAAAACAACAGGAAGTGAGTCTGGATCAGATCAAATTGCCTTTTTAAGACAGCGCCACACAACCTTAAATATATCAATCCTTCTGCTAAAAATTCCATTTTATAATACACCAAAGTTCAGCATGAAATAGAGACAGCATTTTCCAATGCAGTTAGTGGATCCTGGACTAGAACAAGGCTATCGGGTAATCATTTAACTTGGTTCTTCACCATTTCAGGACAGGAAGTACCATGGTCAAGGCAAAATTTCCAACAAATTACACAGAGATTCTGGTAGGCAGAGAATCTCAAATGTTAAATTTGCAGCAGCAAACCTGTTAGAGTTTCAACTGACTGGACTGAGAAGTGCAGGCACTGCACCTTCCAGGAATACAGAGGAGCTGCTGGAAATGATATTGCAGACAAACACATTGTACTTGGTTTCTGGCAAGGTCACAAAACTCCACTGAACTGTGACTAGGGGCTAAATTAAACTTCCAAAAGATTATGCAGTAAAGGCCCTGCACCTTGGCATGGTTCAAAGGCTCAGCAACACCAACCCATATCAAACACAGCTACTGCCTTCAGCAAGTAAACTCACCCCAAAAGTCACCTCATCATTACACCATCACTCCTACACTGGCATTAAAGAAAAAAATGTTCAAAGGGAGAAGCCTCTGTTTTCAGCATGTGTCACAAGCCCTTGGTACAATATGTGTCCAATTTAAGAAAAAAATCTGAGCAAAACTGCAGTGCTGGCTAATTCCTTCAGAGAACTGGACAACTTGTACAAGTCACCACTGTGGCCTTGCACAGCTTCTGTATGGACTCTTGCATAACAGCATTGGGGGATTTTTCTGGTAACAGTTTTTGCAGTAACACTGGATTATTATTCTTCATCTTACACTAAGAGTTGTAACAAAATGTGGTCAACTCAAGTAAAATTTTTTTTTCATCACTGTCAGTTTCTGTTTCCAAAAATACTGGTTTTGGACCCTCCAGCAAATTCCATTTAAATCTCAGAAAACAAGATGTGCTCACCTGGTTTAGGAGCTGGATGGGGGTTTCGTCGACTGGCGTGAGTGTAAGGACAGTCTGGCTTAGTGCACTTTGCATCATATTTACAGTTTGGATGGATGAACAGGCATTTGTCAGCAAATTTGCAGTTAGGAAAAACTCTGAGGGGAAAAAAAAATTGAGTCAAAAGCTCCTACTTGGAGCAAAATCCCCAAACATCTGTTGCACACAGTAGCCAGAATATCACAGAAAGCCAGAGGTGCAGCAGGGCTGGGGCACATCTTGGTTCCTTCCCAAGTGGGGCATGTAGTGTAGAGCATGAGCTGTGCACCCACACACCTGCACTCAGCTTCCTTTCCTGCAGAACCTCCCTCCATGCAAGTGAAAAACTGAACCACCTCACTCTCAGGCACCAAATTGCTTGATGCAACCCAGGACATGTCACTCTTAATGTGTGTCACAGGCAATGTGAAATCAGACCTTCCCCAGAGAGGGCTGCAGTGTTCCCTAAGTAACACAGATTTCTCCAAAGAGTTTTATTTTGAATTTAGTTACACCAGATTTTATAAGGTAATTAAAATGTCCGAGTAACTGAAGTTACCCAATCTGGTAAGAGTTATCTCAATACAGACACTGTTTTTCTGGACTGTTCCTGCTTATGGAAGAGAAGTCAAAGGCACAGGGCACATTCAAGAGTTCACCTTCCCTTTCAAACTTAAAACCCATGATCTCTGTATTACTATGTAATAACAACCCAACCCTCAAAAGCATTGTGACAGCTGCCAGATGAGGGCCTACTCTTTTAAGACACTAACTCCTGCATCTTTAAGCAACTCAGGAACACCAGCCTGTACTTAAAACTAAAGCTTTCTTCTGCAAGGCTGCAGCTGCCACCCCTGTGTTCTGACACTTGGAAGAGGGGTGGAAAACAGAAGGAATTACAGTGTGATAATCTAGCTCTGATCCTGCCCTGACAGGTTTGTGCTGCTCTCTTGGAATATTACTGACACAGAGCAGAAGTTTGCAGTACTGGAATAAAAATCAAAATAGCATTTCAAGTGGATGAGCTCTGTACCACTCACTTGCAAGGCTGTGTGGGGTGATGGTACACACATTCATCTCCATTCTTACAGGCAGGCCAGTACTTGCAGCGCTCCAGCACCTTCTCCTGCTTTTGCAGCATATTTAAGTCTTCCATTTCCACTGGATGGTAAGAAAGAAGAAAAAAAACAACCTCAAGTTGGACCTTTAAGATTCTATATGCAATTTGTTGTAAGCCATCTAGCATAATCAAAATTCACTGTACTTCTTTCTTAATCAAAAAAGTCATGATAGTAAAAGTTTATGTACGATCATATTTTCTGAAGAAAATTTTCAGAACCATAAAATGAAAAGTTGTAATACTGGACTGACAGCTGCCTTTTGGTGACAGAGGATCAAATCTGCACTGTTTACAAGCAAAATAAATCAGTTTTCTTTGCAAATCCGAATTGATTTAAAGACTTGGACAAGACACTGACTCTGACTGAACCTGAGTTATGACTATTCTGCTGAGCCATAAGTCAATTATAGCCATGTTTCCTTTTTCCAAGATATCTTTTGCTCTAGAAAATTATTTCAAGAGATGAAAGTTAAAAAATCAATTTTTACACTAATCAGATTTATTATTATGGGGCTATATACTGAAAAAGAACCACTTTTATGGAATTCCTTCAGACATTTCAGTTACCTGAACCCAGACTCTAATCCAAAAAGTATTTTAAGAAATTCTAAGCTGAAACATTCCATACTTTCACTACTCTTACAGGAACATGGGACTTTGACTTTCCCCTATTTAACATTGCTTGGAACACCTTATTTTCAAAATTCAGACAATCGTTGAGACAAATGTTGTTGTTGTCTTATTTTCCCAAATCTGCCTAAACCTTTGGCTTTTCAAAGCTTTCCAGCACTGCCTACACTTCCCTCTCTGATCCTACTAATGACACAAATTGCTCCAGCTTTATTCCTTCCTTAGCCTCATTTATGCCTTCTCCTTGCAACATACCAAAGCCAAATAATGCTTTCTACAACAAATCCTGTTGTAGGACCACACTGGCTCTTACAGATCACTTCCACATGGATCTGATTGTGTATCACCTTCAGTCCAATCCCTGCTACTTCACAGGAATCATTAACAGAGCTAGGACTGTACTGACAACACTCTCCTCTACCAAACAGCTTTGGTGAGGAGTATGAGGCTACACACAGGAAAGCACGGATTCACAAGGAAGTACTCCAATGACAGTTTCTCTCCGCTGGTAAAGTGTATGAATACACAACATTCCCTTAATCTTTAAGGCTGCCTGATAAATGCAGTACTTCTGCAGCAAGGGGACTGAAAGGATGTGGACTTAAAAGATCTTTTTCTATGGTGCTCCCATAATTACATTACACGTTTACAGCTGGAGCCATGAAATTTAAGGGTTCTCAGTACAGCATCGAATAGTATTCTTTATTTAGTTCAGAAATTTGGATACACTGCTACAACAGAAAATAAAGATCTTTATTTTCTTAAGAAAACTAAGTAACAAACATGGATCCAAGCACAGCCCTCAGGCAAGTATTCAACAGGTCTATGACAAAACAGTAGCCTCTGTGTTTTTTACCACTATGTCAGCATTCTGAACAATTCAAACCTGGTTCAGAAAGCAATTTCCCATGTTATTCAAAAGAAATAAAGAAAGACAATATACTTATTGTAAAATCATGCACTGTTAAGTTCTGCTTTCAGGTGCTACCCACTGGACTCTACCAACACCTTACATTTAACAGGCTCCTTTAGGTGTCACAGCCCTCAAGAGAAACATTAATACTGTCTGAGGTATTTTTGTAAGTTCAAGGCATGTTACTATGTTAACTGTAACATCTCCTGTCCATCAGCACAGGGACAAACCATAACAGATCAACCAGAAGGGCAGATTAATGGCAATGAAGATCAACTGCATTTGCAAAAAAAACCCCAAAAACCAACCAGCCAATTTTACCAATATTGAGATGTATGGAGAACTACCACATGCCATACTGGTCTAGTACACCACAACAAAAGCTTCTGAGAAGACGGTCCCACTGAACTCCCACATTTCATTTGCCTAAAGAATGTTCTAATTTGAAGAATAAACACCATCACTTTGGTTTCTTAAGAATAATACATCCAGGAGGTGTAACCATGATCAAAGCACCACACCAAGGTTAGATCCTGTTGGTCAGTATAATTACCATCACAGTTCTCCAGCTGCCTTGTTACAATTTGCATCTGCTGTGCTCGAAGACCTTTTAATCCTTTGCCAGCACACATGTGATGGGTAACTGGCTTTAATCCTTCCATTATACACATATCTTCCTCCTCCTGATCAGAAAGGTATCCTGGTGGACTGGGCACACCATCCAGTGTCACAATGAACTTGGGACTAGCAGGTTTCTCTGGCTGTGCAAACTGATCTCTATCAAAAAAAGAAATGTAGTAAATTTAGATTTTCTGACTCAAGAAGTTTGAGTGAATGTGAGCTGTGCTAGTGAGTGAAAGTAGTACAAGTTTATCAGTGGGGAGTCAAGCAGTAGCAGACCTTCTTTTAGTAATGCACACCAGTTAACAGCCTTCAGGTCCCCATGAGGCAATAATAAGCACTACAGCTCTCAAGTACAAGTTCAGTTTGTTGCATTCTGCTCAACAGACAGTTTCAAAAGCTCATTTACAGTCAATTCTGTGGAAGTTGCAATTTTGAGGCAGAAAAAGAGAGCAAATACCATTCTTAGAATTATAAGCCTTTTAACACACAAAACATGTGTCTCCACAAAATTACTGAAAAGCACATTATGAAACAGTGGTGTAAAAGTTTTTAGAACTAGGATGAGAGAATTGAAATATTGATACTAAGTATTGACAGTCATGTCAATACTGATACTAACTTTGACACTCAGCCTGACAAAAAGGTCAGTGTAGCTTAGGGTCCTGTATCTGACAGTAGTCAGCATGGATAAAGGGGAGCATTAAAACAGGGGACACGTACATTTTCTCATGTCTTTCAACATCCCATCCATTTCACCTGAGGGGCTTCCTGTATGACAGGTGATTCTATGTATTTGGAGAACTGTGGAATTCTCATCTTTGACAAACAGCAATGGGATAAACTTTGCTTCTCTATGAAATGAGGCTAAAAGCAACTACATTGTAGAATGCCTTTAAGATAGAAACCAGAACATCGAAAACATCACAAGCTAGAACTTTCAGACTGAAGCAGTCAGAAACTGACCTATTCACATACAAAAATTAACCTCTCTCCTATAGCAGTCACAGCTTTCTACTGTGATATTGCCAGGTTATTTTGGAGTCATTTGCTCTGTGTTGGTTTTGTTTTCCATTAACATAGGCTTCTAAAAGCCACCCACAGAAAGGAAACACCAGAAATTCTCAATCACAGCAGCCCACATGATGAAGTTCATCACACTGTTCAGAGTGGTTTTAACTTGTAACAGGTAGGACTATTTGTTAACTGGAACTTTATTTGAAGCTGATATGAACTTTAAGCTTCTCCTGGTCAAACTCTCCTGTAAGGAGCCTTAAATCACTGCCAAGGATTCAACACACTCGATACTGTATTAAAAATGTTTCTTATGAAATGTAATCAAAGGGTGAAATAAGTATAAAACTAATGGCAATCTAAGCAAAATGATTACTTGAGTAAGATTTCAGAAATCAGAAAAAAGAACAGTACTTTTCAGTTCCTTCTTCTTTCTTGCAAATCAAAGACATGCTCAAGCAACAGTTGACCCTAGGATTATTTTCCATTTAGAAGGATTTCTGGGAGGCTTAATGCCCCTGCTTTTTCTTCTGCTTTCCATAGTCAGTCCATTTTGCATGATTTCACACCTCCTAACTGAACTGACAAAGCACAAGTCTGACCAAATGGCTCCATCTAAACCACAAACAATCAATTTCACTAGTAACTGTCCTAAAAGAAGAAGCTTTTTACCGTGTCTGTATTAGACGTCCTGAGTGAACTCGCACTGCCTCTGTACCCTTCTTTCCCAATTGCTGATTCTGTGGTGCCATGTCCTCTGATAACTTGGGCTTCTTCAGGATAAAACACCGAGTATCTGAGTGGACCATAGATTCTGGGTCACAGTAATCTGCATTGGGAGAAGAATTACAGAGAAAAGAGTAAAGTAAGGTACATATTTAATTATGTATTTATTATTTACAGTAATTATTACAGTATTATAATTATTTACAGTATCAATTTAAATGGTCAATGAGCTAATCTTACTTTAATTTCTTCCTAGTAGTTTCCAGAAAACATTTTTACTTCCCAGTTAATTCCACAGAGGTAGATCAACAGAAGCCATAAGCCATATTAGGCCAGATCAGAAAATTTTATAAATGGAATGGCTATGCTGAAACAGCACTGAAGGGGGTCCATCCACCCTCCCCCCAAATCTCTCATCCTCTGAACAGCTACTAATGTAATGCATTCATTCCTTAGAGATGTAGAAATCAGAAAATTGTAGAAATCAGTATAATTAATTGAAACGAAGTATCTTAACATTCACTGGTCAGTAATATTAGATTTGAAAATAAAAGATCACAAGACTTAACCTTGAGTCACTTGCAAGGCATCTTCAATCATAGGATCAATCTGAAGCCGACAAGAGAGCTCCTTTTGTTCAATTCCTAAAAAGACGAGCAATAAGAAGCATATTTTATAGCATGTCAACATGATACTATAGAGAACTGAGACATACTCTCTAATTATTTCAATAAAAAATCAACAACAAAAACATTCACAATTTTAACAAAAACAACAACAAAATCCATTCTCATTATTACGAACCCTTTTCTCATTGGTTCAGGAACAGCAACAAGGCAAAAGCTAAGTACTGTAGGACACTATTCATTCCCATAATCACTGCTCAGCACAAATGAGGTCTGTGGGCACAGCAACTGATGAAGGCCAAGTTCTTCCTCCTCATTTGTAGAGGAGTTGGCCATCCAGAGAACACACACAGAGGAAAGCAACTAACAAGGAAGTACTTTACAGTCTTCTTAAGAGCTGAAGTGAATCAGCGCAGCACTGTTCTACACTTGAGATATGGTTTAAAAAAATTATTTTTGCTTTCTGTAAATTTCCTAAGCAAGCTGTCATTTCCATTTCAATGGCAAATGAGTAAAAATATTTAGCATAATTATTTTCTGTGCATTAATTCAAAGGCTGATAAAACTTTTTCTCACATACTTTACAGTTACAATTTCAACTACTTAAGGGAGGCAGAAAGGTTCCAAATACACCTATGTGAGGAATAAGAAACTGCAAAAAACTTTTTTAAATAATGAATGTTTACCATTCCTTAACAATGACCATGGGATGATGTAACAAAATTCTTACTCAAAACCAAATTCTATTAATTATCTAAATATCTAAACACTTAGAAAGTATAAAGTAAATACTTAGAGAAATAATTTTTCCCTGCCTCATTTCTATGAGTCCTTGTGACTAACAAAGACAACACCCCATCCTCTAGAAGAAAACCATGTTGAAAAGGCACTTTGACTGCCTTTAAATGTTATGCACTTTAGAATATTCAAAACAGAAGTAAAAACCAAAGCCTGGTATCAGCTGTCCTGTAAGACTAAATAGGGTATTATATTTAAACTGAAAAATTAAACACTAGAACCATTTATGTGGAAACCATGTGTTGGAAAGAATCTTTTACTATTCATAGGCTGGAAAAGTGTTGCAAATACTCTAGAGTATATTCACTCTTACTTAAGCTTTGTGACAGAATTACTCCTACAACATACTAAGGAAAATATGCAAAGGATGGGGAAAAGAGAAGCTATCCAAATAAAAGTCCTTATGCAAAACTATTCTTCAGTGACATGCCACAATGGTATAACATTCTCTGCTCATAGATTAATTCCTCTGAGGCTGTCTGTGTGTGTGTTTGGATACATGTATCTATCTGACAGCCCTGCTTTAGAAAGCTGCATGGTCTTCCGGGCAGTTCTGCATGCGACTTTTAATGCAGACTTAAAACCATTCCTTTCCTTTTCTCTGCTCAGTCTGTAAAATGACATCCCCTAGTATAAAGTCTTAAAGAATATTATCAGATGACCTTGAATTTCTTCAACTGTCTGCTCCTTTGGCTCTTCTACTTGAAGATGAGAACTCAGAATAGGCAGTCTGCTTTGCACATGAATTACTTCTAGCTGTGATTCTTCTGGGCTAATTCGAGTTCTTGGAGCAACTGGAACAGTCTGTTTCTGTGGAACTTTAAATAGAGAAACAATGGCAAATAATTTAAACACTACCCAATCACACAATAGTACTGTTTTTAGATATATTGTGTTAAAAAAAACTCTCACAAATTCCTACACACACACACAAAGAAAAACAAAAATCCCAAGCATCCGTCTCCACAAAAAGCATCTTTAAGCTACCTGCAAAATTCTTAGTGTGCAAGCATATTTGTTCATGTGCACAGAGCGCCCTGAATTGCACCTCAGAGCACTTACTTCTAAGACAAAACAGCGTAAGAAGGATTAGAGTGACAATAGCGAAGTACTCATTCATCCACTTCTACACATAATTAAAGTGGTATTTTCTGATAGTTTTTAAATCACTTTTCATTCCATCTTTCATATATATAAAATCATGGATGATCAAACTGCACCTTCATATGATGCTACTAGCTACCCTTTGCTAAAGTGCTTACAAACAGAATACAAAACTTAATAGCAGAATTGTAGCATCACTTAGATGCTTCAGATCACTGAATTAAAGCGCAAACCTAAGACCACCACTGCCAAGTGCACCACTAAGCCATGTCCCTACATGCCACACCTACACCTCTTTTAAATACCTTCAGGGATGGTGACTCCACCACTTCTCTGGACAGCCTGATCCAATGCCTGAACACCTTCTCCATGAAGATTTTTTCCTAATATCCAATCTTAATCTCCACCAGCACCACCTGAGGCCATTTCCCCTGGTCTTATCACTTGTTATTTGGGAAGAGACTGACCCTGACCAAGCTACAGTCTCCTTTCAGATAGCTCTAAATCTCTGTAAAGATAGTTGTGGCTTGGAATTTGGGGGTGGCAAGACAACATGTTGACTTCTTTACTTGGCTTCTGCTAAAACTGTCGGACCGGATTGTGAGAAGCTAAACTCTTCCCTTGGCTGAGTACCAAATCAGCATTTAGCTTCTGACACAAGCAACTAAAAGGTACCACTCAAGTACTAGATACATTTATGAATTTACTGTTCTGTTTTACCTATGTGTTTTAAATTAATTTACTTCCATATTCCATCCAAAATACTTTAAAAAGTAAGTTAAATATTACTTTTGAAGAAGTGGAAGAACCTGTGTGGTATTTCAGATAAAATTCACGAATCACATCTGTATTAAACAACAAAGTGGTCTGGTCTTTCCACTGAAATATTCTCATGTTGGTAAGTCAAACTACAAGATCACTACTATTAAAAAGATCAATAGTTTTAATTAATTTAGACTTTTTTAGCTATGTCTCATTTCCTGCCATACTGCTTTGTACACAGGAAGAGCTTTCTACATCACCTCAAACTACTGTTTCTTACAGTTTGAAAGAGAGCAGGCAAGAGACTTCAGAGGGTATAAAAGCTCTACTTCTGATAGTATAAAAGCCATGGTTTAAATAGTTTAGTGAATGCTCCTTCCCTGGCGTGGTGCAATGTGTCCTGCTGACAACATGTGGATTTATGAATGCCCAATGAAATGAAAGCACAAGACGACAGCTGGATTTGCCCTTCTTCGGAAGTCTCTCCTAGCTATGAGAACTGAATGCATACACACACAGACAGCTGTTCAACTGCTGTGTCAAACTGCAACTAAAACCACTGAACTGAAATTGCAGCCTTGTTAAAGGCCAATACACATCATCATACACATCCAGATACTTATCAACATATCCTGATGTACATCAGTCTTTGTTACTCATTATTTTGCACTTCTATTACCTATATCCAGTGCATTTTCATTTTTTTTCTCGTTTCCTTTTTTCTCCTCCCCTCTCAGAAGGAAGAAGGAGAATGAAGAAAGGGAAAAAAGATCAAGTAATTCTGATTCATTTTCCCTTGGTGACTATTGACTTCAGAATACTCTGGCCCTTCCATTCTGTATCTATACACTTCACAGACTTGCTGTCTTGATTAATGTGTTTTAAATACCACTTTTCTCCCTTGTTTATGTTTTCACAGTTCATCACTGAACATCAGTGAAATGAAACAAGATGTGGTAAATCCCTCATGTGGAACTGATTTGCTATTTAGTATTCTGTCTTATTTCTAAGCACTTTCTTTAGCTTGGACTTACACAAAAGAGTTTGAAAATATTTCAGATTACACAGCAAAATCAATGTTAATTACCAGTCGAATAATTGGTTGTTTTCGTAACTGATTCCTGTGCTTCAGAGATTGCTTTCAGTATCAAATTCTTATTGGCCTGTTTTGAAGGTGGCAATGAAGGTCTAAAGGAAATAAACAAAAAAATAATTCTGCATAAGATTGCACAGCAACAGTAACCATGCTAAAGACAGTTGTTTCAACAGGTTAACATAGGAATAATATTAACAGAAATTATCCTCTACAATTATTTTATCCAAAATAGTTTTCAGTTAATCTATTCTCTCAGTGGATGGAGATCCACAAAATTCTCTAAAAAATGTAAGTCCAGATGTGTGATTTCACCTCTCAACTTAAGCTGCTGCAAAATCATGATAAAAAGCAGTGTAAAAACACATGAAAGGCCCTCTGCCATTAATTTCTTCCCACCTCTACCCACCACTTATCTCTTGCTATGTTTGTGCTGGCACCAATAATTATGCAGCCATCCTGAGAAATATGGTCCAGCTGCATAATTTGACTCTATCAGAAACATATTATTTGTAAAAAAAAGGCTTTCTGCTTGTCTTTAATATCAACAATAAGAAAGCTTAAATCAGATAAATGTGCTATGGTGCTGAAGATAAATTCAGTACAGTGTATTAGCTTAAAATAAATCTCATAAAAGATAACACTGTAAACACTTAAAAAAGCTAACATCTCCTCTCTAGTTTAAATGTTCTTCCTCAATTGCTAAAAATAAGATACAAAAGACATGTATTTTGACTAATGCCTGACACTTAGAATTAGGGAGCAGAAAACAAAAAACCTCTGAAGACTGTCTGAAAAGTTAAAATCACCTTAAAGAACAAATGATAACTGGTTTGAAAACAATTCCTGAAAATAAATCAAATTACTGAAAAATTAATTTAACAAAAGAAATACCTGGTCTGAAACATGTCAACATTATTGTTCTTTTGCCAGTAAACTTTACCCAAATAATGTAAAAATTCACACTCTATTGCATCTTGCATGCAATAATGGAAACAGGTTACTAAACCTAAAGGCAAAGGATGGCATAAACAGGCATCTCATCCACAGAGTTGTGAGAAAGCACAAAAAATATTAAAATTATTTACTAAATTTTGTCTGTCAATTTTCTAAAGTGAAAACTGATTTTCCGCACTTCCGAAGTTTTCATGCATTATATTAATTCTTGAAAACCCAGAATCATGGAGATCTTCAGTACCTTCTTTCTGGCTTTGCAGGTACAGACACGCTGCTGGAGATGCTTCCTGTTCGCAATCCGTAGTCTTCCTCTTCCTCTTCATCGTCTCCATCATTACAGAACTTTTTCACTTTGACTACCGAGCTTACAACAGGCAGCCGCCTCTTCCTGGAGCTTTCCTCCTACAACATACAGAGCAGGCAAAACAGCTCATTTAGCATAAACCACGAATCAGTAAACCAGCAAAGAATGTACTGCAATTCCACTTGGAGCCAGGAGATGGAGATCTTCCATTCCAGTTGTACAAGTGACTGCACTGGATAATATGAAAATCAGACACTGAAACGTCTCATTGGAAACATAACTATAAACAAAATTTAGGAAAAAAAAAAAGCAAACTCAAAAAAAACCCTCTCAAGTATAGAAAAATTATCCAACACCTACAGAAAACCAGGGTTTTCCAAAGACAGTCATAGTATTCTTCAAGATAAGTATGTTAAAAGTGTGAGAGAGAAAAGTGAAATCAGTATAAATTACTTTTTTCCTCTGTATCAACTCTGATTTCAGACAAATTTAAGGATTCATTTCTAGCAAGGAAATTATATATTCCAAAGGATATTAATTGTTACATATAGTCAGGATGGTCCAGTTTAGACAGTTCAAGGCCCCTGTTGTCTCTTCTGGACATTATTCATGAAACAGTAATAGAAGAGAAGTTTCACAAGACCTTTTTCAAATATTTCCAAGGAGAGACGTCCCTGACATTCATCAGTGATTTATGTACAACATTAAATAAATCACTATATTCTTATTTGCACTTCTCCATTCTCAAAAACTAAGACATCAGGATGTATCTTTGTAGAGCATTCTAGACTTCCAAATAATATTCATTATCCTTTATACAGAATGAAGTAGTGGCAAAGACAGAGAACTTTATGAGCTGCAACAAACATAGATGCACTTTCAATACAAGGTATGTAAAACACTTGCTTCATAACAACATTAGGAGCCATAACTATCTTCACTCCTCTCAAAAAAGCTCTTCATTCAAGTGCATAGTCTATCAGCTAGGACTACCACCCTGCCTGGCTTAGCTTGGCCTTCAAAGTACTTAGGGGAGCAGTCATCTTTTAGTATGTCCTTGTGCAACATACATCCTAAAGAATTCTAAACTAACAAAGTTCTAAATAGAATCATCATCATCAATGTATCTGGGTTAATAAACAGCATACCAAAAATTCTGATTTACTGGACTGTGTAAAGCTGGGGGTATACACAGCACTTAGGGAAGATCACAATGATTCAATGACCTTAAGATCAGAATTATAATTTCTGATTCATCATGTGCAGCTCAATAATGTGCTAACCTGTCCAAGTCAATATGACAGGAAGATGTACATGGTAATTAACTCTGAGATGCAGCAAGCTCCCAGATAATGATGTCAAATTATGCAATCTGTTTTTACCAGTGGACACAAAGGATGAAATCTCAAACCTACTGGTACCAGTAACAAAAGTCTTTTGATTTCTCTGAGGTCAAGATTTTACTGAAGTGTACATAGCAATTTAGTTTCCTAACAAGAATAAACTTTTGCAATAATTTAGGTTGTACTAACCTCACTGCCCACTTTATCAGCACCGAGTTTGGAGGTGGGTCTGTGACCTTCTGCTAAGCTGCCAAATGCTTCTGGATTGCACAGCTGGCCTGTTTCCAAAGACCTGCAGCCTTGTGTGTCTGACTGCCGGCTCTCCTGCAAGCTGCCCTGTTGTGACAATCTGGGCACGTGCGCATTGCCATCTGCACTCCTGACAGCTGGTGGCCGGTAGATCTCGGCTGAGGGACGAGAGGAACCGTAAGTTACAGTCACAATAGGTTTCTTCCGTGACAAAGGATTCTCCTGCACAAAGTTTAGGTCTTCATCAATTAGATCATCTGGTTCAGGTTTAATGTCAATTACAGCTTCAGAAGGTGACAATTCCCGCAAAGGCTTGACAGTAGATGTTAAGCGGGATGCAGAACCATCTTCACAAGACTGCCTGATAAAAAAGAAATTGCCAACTGTTATCCACAAGTCAAGTCCCAGAAAATGAGAACTGTCTTTTAATCAAAGCCAGGAGGGAAGAAACATTACAGTATTACTGTTTATATGAATTTAACATTTATTTTCAGTTTGGTTAATTAATCTAAGCCCATGTGTGGCTTAAAGAACAGAGTTCTGATTTAATGTTTTTCATACAACAAATTGTAGCAATGCTTTACTCTTCAAAAGTACTTGTATCTTTCCAAGTGTCTGCACTCTTCAGAATGGCTACAACACTCATACAACTACTGATATCTGAAGGTGTACTAGGAAGTAGCCAGCAGGCTTACCTGGAAGCAGCGTTCCTCTGCTCCTGTGAGCTGGTTGAAACTCTGGAGTCATTTCTTTCAGTCCGAGTGCTTGACACTGCAAGAGGTGGCAACATATCCTCACGCCTCCTCTCATCACTCACACATGAACTGCTTTTGCTGGAAGGCAGGTTGCTCTCAAAGATATTAGATTCTGAAGATTTTACACTGGTTGGTTCTGTGGAGACAGGTACCTTTCACTTTCACATTAAAGCATAGCAATACAAATTTTACAGTAAATGTAGCTACAAAACTGCAAACAAGATGTTGCACATGCCTGAAAATACAACAAGCTGAAAGCCTGGAATACATCAGCAAGAAACAGAGAAAACACACAGACACTAGACTCAAAAATAAATTATCTCAAAATAAAAAGAAATTTTCTTAACAGTCTGGATCCAAAAGACCACATAAACAAAAAATTAACAAAACAGACAAGATATTTTTGCAACTCATTAGAAATATAGCACTACACAGGAGAAATAAGCCTACCTTCACTCATAATTACTTTTCTTACTTACCAGTAGTCACAGATCGCAGCTTATCCAAAACGATCGCAGCTTATCCAAAACGCCATGGAGCCTGAAATAAACAGTGGACATTGAAGGAAGAAAAAGAGAAATAGGAGAAATAAAAAACCTTAATTTACATTCACACTAACCACTTTTCAGAGACCCACTGCCTTTCCATCATTATGACAAGCACCTTTTCTAAGACTTCATTTTCAATCAACCAAAGTATGTTTGATCTCAAAAGGGATGCTTAAAGTATTGTACCTCCTGTATGTCTTGTACATGCAAGCAGAGTATTCATCACATCATCTACTTTTGGCATTTAGTCGGTTTATATATCAAAGCAAATACTACCCACCTTTCACTACAATCAATGAAGTATCAAAAAGATTCAAAAAACCTAAGTTAGAAGCCTAAAGCATAGCCTAAAATTTTACTTTGTATATGAAACTTTAATTACACAGCAGAGTTAAACATAATTCTAAGTACAAACTCAAACAGTATATAACTCATAGCATTCTCAGGATTCTTCCAGCATGCTTTGTATATACCAACAATACTTTCAGAGATGTGCTGGTGATCAGAAATATTTCAGTGAAGTACCAAACTTGCCCTTTGCCTGTGAAAAAGTTACTAAGCTGAAGTAACACGTAAAATTACAGGGCTTTAATACAATAAGGCTGCTTAAAAATAAACACATATTGCAGTGAGAAGAAAGAAAAAAAACCTGAACACTTAAATTCATATCTTACTTGGAATTCAAACGTGATAATGGGCAAGTCCATAATTTAGACTGAATATTAGAAAGGAGCTAAGGAACAAGAACATATTGAAAAGACTGCATGTGGGTATAATGAAGGCTTATACTCATTCTCCTTGTGAGCTTTCACTAGAACACTTGTCAGCTGAGCTCTGGTGACGCAGATCAATTTTCATACTGACCTCAGGCTAACTGATCTGACACTTGGTTCAGAGTAAGAAGTGGTGACCAACCAGCAGGATTACCAGGTCTGTCATAATTGCTGCGAAACTTATGCCAAAAGGCCCAAATTATTAGCTTACAGAGACAAACCAAGGAAGGCAGATCTTGCTGAGTACTGTAATTAACCAACGTTTAAGAACAGAAACATTCTAGACTGCATTTAGGAGAAGTAAAAAGTATACAAAACTGCCAGCTACAATGTTATGTAACACTTGTTCACCAGTCCCCTCACAGCTTATTCATAGGTTTCACCTTATCATCTGTCCTTCTTTTAACCAATATGTACTTTGGTACCTGATAAAGCACTCCAACATTAAGTTTGTATTTTTATATCTGTATCTATCTATATAAATATATATGTAATGAGAATACTGACTTAGGGTTAAAACAGTCACTATGTTCAAAATTTAATCAGGTGTCAAAACCAGCTGGTGGTATAACATCTGCATGTAGTCAATATACCATATAAAATATAAATATATAAAATTATCTTGATTTCTTCGCTGAAATTTGCTTTCTCTACATATTTATTATTTTTTCAATAAAGTTTTAGTTCCATTTACAAAGCCATGAAAGTATTTTCTGCTACACAATTTCTGACTGTATATCAGGATTCAATCAAAACTGCAGTACAGGAGATACATCCTCATCCACTTGTAAACTTCACTGATTTGTCTGATTCCCAAAACTACTATGAGAGAGACAACTGCATGACTTCCTGATACACTGAAACCCAAAAGTTTTGCCTACGCAGGCCACAAAAGGCAGCAAAGAAATACCTGTGCGGTTTTTTTCAAAAAAGATCCATGCTTAATAGTACTCCTTTATAATATTTTTGACAAGTGCCAGGAGAAAAATGAAACCTGTGTTAGTAAAATCAAACTATATCCACACAAGTTACACTATCACCTAGAAATACATTTGTTTAAATAGCTAATACAGTGATTTGTAATAGCTGGAACTGTTTTTCATTTTTTGTCAATGTTTATGATTTCATAACATAACCAACTTCTAAAATGTTTCTCTCTCCTATTCAGTAAAAGAAAAGTTCCTAAGAACTAATTACATATAAGAAATATTGGAAGTGAATTTAAACTGTCAGTATGAAAATGTCAAAGAAAGCATAACTGAAAAAGAATAAAAATTATATTACTTCTCTCATCTATACAAAACAAAAAAATACTCCTTGAAATTCTATCAGATAGGAGATTCAGAAATAAGATTAACTTGAAAAAATACACAACTCTGAAAGCAACAAAATCTCTAGAGTCAAATGTCTGAAATGCAGATTTACTTACAGGCTTCTACTGTAAAACAAATTCAGTATTAGAAAATGCATGTGAAATATAATGGCTAAGTTTGTCATGCAGTATAGAATGAATGAACCTACATTGTCAGAAGCTGACAGCAGAGTTGGAGTGTTGCTAACTTGTCCTGTTCACAGTAATTCTGAGGTTCTACTTTTGGTTTTTAGAGTTGGGTGGTGGTAATAAATAAACAGCCTGAGAGGTGGGAATACCTAAGCATTTGGTGCTAAGCCTTGTCAAAGACAGTACACAGAATTAGATCCACTGCTCATCTGCCCTGATATAGTAATTCTCATGCACAGCAATCTGAATCACTGTTAGCATTAAAGCAAACAGATTGGTCCTTTACATCTAACTGCAGTGAACAAGGCACTCATGCTCACAGTGGGCTTTGCAGGAATAATTGTAAGTCAACATACTACCTGAGCACTTCATTTACAAATCTGACTGGCTTATAAACAAATGAGTCCTCCAGTCCTTTGCCATCTAACTATCACCTCAAAAGCCTAACTAGGGTCAGACTAAAACTAATTTACTTATTAGACATGCAAGGTAGGAACTTTTATTAAAGCAAATTACATAATGGGAAGATAAATAACTTTTTTAAATGTCAAGTGTAGTGTCACTTGTAGAAAGCAGTCCTGCACTACTGATAAGAAGTGTGACAAGTAGCTTGCAAACATACCAGACAGTAAACCTGACAGTATTGTTTCCAAGGAAAAGGGAAAGGTCTTCTGTCATCTGCTCTTGACTCTTCTTATTGGCCACCATAACCATAATATAATCAGGGAGTTCTTCATCTAATAGAAAGAGAAATATGTTGTTTTAAAGTATAATAAATCATGGAAGACATAAATCATAGAAAACATTTTTAAACATGTAACCAAACTTTTTCTGGCTTACTATAAAGACTGTGCAGGCAGAGGATTAGGTAAGCAAATTAACAAGACTTCCATTTCCTCTGAGGTTCAATACAAGTCTCATCTACAAGCAAGGAATATAAGATCATCAACTTCACAAGAGCGTAAACTGAAGATCAATGTATTTAAAAAGTGAGTAAACAGAACGGAAAGAAGAACAAGATAAAAGAAAGCCACTCTGCTGCCTATATTCTTTTTCTTGAATACTAGCAAATACCTATAAACATCTAGTAAATATTCATCACCTCATCCCTGTCAAATTTCCTGTAGTTACAAAACTAAAAAAATAAATATCCATTTCTGATATGTGCATTAAACAAATCAAAATTGTATTAACTTCCAGATTTTTTACCTACAAAAATAAAAACAAATCCCAGCTACCTCAAGAATGAATTTCTATTCTGTAATGTATGCAATTTCATACACAGTGAGAAACCCATTCCCTTGCACACAGGGTACTCCCACTCATCAGAATGCATAGGAAGGTGCTTAGAGCTCAACATTACCACACTAAGAGTTTGGGGAATTTGGTGTTTGGCATTTCACTTTGGCCTAGCTCTGGCCTCTGCTGAAGGATTGACTGGCACAATTGTTGCTCAAAGGCATTAGTTGTGCTTCTTGATCACAGACTTCAATTTAGTTTTATCAAACATCTCATGCTCTCCAATTCTACTCCATGGCATGACATGAACATAACAACAGTAAGCAAGAACAGTTGGGAAATACTACCCAAACTACAAATTTGAATCAAGGCACTAATACAGCTGTGCTTATTTAATCAAGCTACAACAGTACACAAAACTAAAAAGACCTAAAAAATTAAAAATAGAAATCAAAATCCAAATGAAAGGAACTGTCTTTCTTCCATGTATATGTACACTGTAAATAACTTATCTCTACCTTAGACCACAAAAATAACATTTATACATTGTACCTGCACTACCACTACTCATTTGTACCAACATAACCCATTACTAGCTTAATCCCTCAGTTTTTCTGGTGACTTTTTGTTTGTTTCAGGGGCTTTTTTTGTTGCTGATTTGTGCTTGGTTTTTTTTTCCTACTGCAAACTACAAGTTGCACAAGATGGACTAATGTTCAGACTTAGGAATTAAAGTATGATTTTTATTCATTGGCCACACTACTTTTAAACATAGTAAGCTCTTCAGGTGGTTCAGCGCATGATAAAGTAAAGAGGATATTTTAAGTACAGATCAAAACATAAGTTAGCACAATTACCAGTATAACAGTTTGTGTAACAGTATGATATATGAAGGAAAGAAACTTTTTTGGTATCTGTGTTGGCTTATGCCAACTTAAACTGCATGTGGAACTACAGCCTTTTGAAAAATTTCCTAACTGATGAATAATTAACTGCTTCACATCTATGAATATTTCCTTTTTAAGCGCTACACAACAAGTTTCAACATATCTTGATATATAGGGCTTTTCAAGAGAAAAGAATTAGCAGTGTCAGAAAGAAACAAAAGCATGGTTCCTGTGCAGAGGATAGAATGAGGGAGAAGCAACATTTTACTAGTTACCTGAAAGAAGAAATGGAGAGTTTTTGAAAAACAGTACTGGAAGAGTTGTCCAAAATACTCTAATCAAGAAAAGAAATCTGAAAAATCACAGGATTTTGGAAACATTGGTATAAAAATAAAGAAGAGGCCAAGGCAAGACAGACTTAGCTATAAAGAATACAAAGTTATATAAAGTTCAGAAGCTGACTGAGAAGAAACTGCAGACTTTGTCTGTTCATCCTGGGAATACAGGAAACCTGTCCTCTGAATACAAGAGACAGAAGGAAAACAAAGAAAGAATAATCAGTCATAGCTGCAATCAGAGATGGCTAGTATTCTACCAGCATCTTAGTATTAGAGACAAGAAAGACTTTTATTTCAGAAATACAGGAGAAAGCAAAGAATCAAGGACTGAGAAACTGAAACCTGGAATGATGGTAAAAAATCCAAACCAAACAAAAAACAATGAGTTACTTAAAAAGACAAGCTTTGAGACGGTGCAAAAGACGATTTTACAATTAAAAAGTTCTAAACACAGTTCCTAGGCACCAGCTGAGTTCAGAATGTCAGCTCCTAAGTAACTCCCCTCTATGAAGCCAATACATTTTTTCATAAATACAATTCCTCCCTTGAAATAGGAAAAAAAGACTAATTCATGCTCAAACTACAAACTCTGAACTTGGCCCTGCAACTCACAGGATCTCTAAATTATGCTCTCAATTCCTTTTTTTCACCTGAAATCCAAGAATCATAGACAACAACAATGCAGTTTCAGGACTGAGGTATTTTGTTTCCAATGGAATGCTGTGTTAAGTTACCAACTTTTACTGCTGCAGAAAACAGCTGCTCTGAAGTGCAATATTCATTTCTTCCTGGATTCAGAAACAACAAATCCAGAAGACCACAGATATTCACACTGCTCACCCCTGCTGTCACAAACCAAAATAAAATCTCCCTCTGCCTCTAAGATTCAGATAGCATGTATTTCATCATCATTAGCTCATCATAGCTCTCAGTCTTCTCCTTAACAGTCAAGCTCTCACATTTTAAAGGTTTGTCCCACATAATGTTTCTGATGTGGCCTTTTAATTTCCTAAGCCACTCACTCGTCTTTATCCAGTCTCCTAATATCAACAGACTCCTCACCCTGAATTTAAGAGCTGTTAAAAAAATGCCTAAGAAAGACTGATTCCACCTCAGAGTGGTCACAGCTAACTGCTGATGTATTTCCAAGGCTCTTGCTTTGTATAATGCTTCTCCTAATGCTTCAAAGAAATTTCCTTAGATATTCACATCATGGCTTGTTTTTCTTTCAAACCCCTTGCCACCATTTCTAAAGGGAAAGACTATTAGACTGACTTCTTAGTTATTTTCTTCAGTTCTTCACGTACTGATGTTCACATACTGCTTCCTCTTATTCTTAGAATATAGTATTTTATGAAGTATTAGTCCAACACTTCAGGTAATTCTTCTCATGCTTAAGGCTTCTGTATGCATTAACAGAGGTAATAGTAAGTTCCATTAGCTAAGCTAGTTTTTTCCTACATAAAAAAAATGATCTAGAGAAGATTGCTGAACACATGACAAAACTTACCAACATAAGCCCCCAGCTCCTGTAACTTTCCTTTTATAGCACCCTAAAAAATAATGAAATATTATTTAAGGGATGGATCAACAAAGTATTTCTGTCTGCAAAGAAGTGGGAGGCTTAGAAAAGTTTCTCTCATTTACTGTTTGCACACAGTAGTTTAACATGTTAAACTTTTCCTATTTCTACTGCTCAGGATAGGAACGTACTAACAGCGAGGGACTGACAGCAGATCAACGGAATCTCACTCTCTCTACCCTATTTCCGATAGACCACACCAATGGTAGTGCCGATCCTGACGCTACCATTCAACCTGCAAGTCCAAGCTGTCCTTTTTTAAGCAGAGACCACCCGGACTCACAAGGTGCAAAGAAAACTAACCTAAGATGGTTTGATAAAAGGTCATTCCCGGCTCAGCAGGGAAACAGAACCCTGCTGGGATTTCCAGGCTGTGACTGCCGAGTGGGAGCCGCTGACAGGCCCTGCCGGTACCGGGGGCTCACACCCGGGCAGCCCCGGGACAGGGATGGCACCTGGCAGCTGCCCGTCGGGGGACGGAGGTGCCCCGGCGCCGCTTCCCACAAAATCGTCTCTCCTGCTCCCGCCCTCCCCGGGGAGTCCCGAGGA